GTGTGTGTGTGTGTGTGTGTGTGTGTGTGTGTGTGTGTGTGTGTGTGAGTTCGCTCAATCAGCAAATGTCGCGAAGAATTTCGATTCGATTTTAGCGAATTTGAAAGCGATATGTGAAAAACGGTTGGTTGCGGTGCGTCGAATGCATTGCGCTTGATCATTCGAGGTCATTTGGATGCATACAATTTTGTGTCGGTCGTCTGTGTGTCGTTTTTTTTTCTCTCTCTTTATTTCTCTGTCTTTTTCTATCTAACTGTGTGCACCCAAGCGTAGGCACATGTCTATGAAAATATGTATTCATTAAATCGGTTGCATTTTTTTATTTCAAAAATTGATTTCTAATTTGGCCATTAAACGGTGAATTTTCGCGAAAACTCAACACAATTCATCGTTGAAATATTTGTGCAAATTTTTCAAAATAATAAATTACAAAAAGAGCTTGAAACTGTTGTGGTCTTTCCCATAAATATGAATATTCTACAGTTTTATTTTTGAGCTGATGAATCATATTTTCTTTTTCTCGCATATTTATATTGGATTTGATTAAACATCTAGCGGCCGCCACCAGCGTTTTTAGAAGCTTTTCTTTAATATCATTTCGGCTAGCTCGAATAAGAACCGCAAACGATTTTTGGTTTGAAAACAACAAAAAAAACCGATTAAGTGCTTTGTGCCAATTTATTTATTATCTAGATGAAAAGATGTGGTGGCTGATTCGGTTCGGTTCAGTTCAGTGAAATGACAACATATCATCCATACCAGTGCATAGCAAACAAAATAGAATGCAGATATGACGTAGCTGTATAATTATAATTAAATTATATAATTTTACGGGGTCAAAATGATTAGAATGCGCCCCAAACATTGATCGAAAATTTGATGCATTCGACATGAAAATATGCATGCAATGCTTGTCATTTGTTTAGTTTGTTCGGTTCGTTAGAAAAATGGTATCACATGAATCATGTTTAAATATTAGACACATTTAAAATATTGGGACTGCGAAAGCGCGAAAGGCCAATATAAATTGGTATTTTGGGTGGCTGTATGCAGAAAACAAACAACAACATCTCTCGGAGTGTGTTTCTTTCTTTCTTTCGAGTGCAAAAGAAAAACAAACCGGGAAAAATGCATCATGCACACATAAAATGGATGAAAGATTGCATAGATGCTCTTTGGGTGTTTTTTTTTCGGTTAAAATTTTGCGGTTTTCTTTTTTCCTTTTTTTTTCCTCTTGCTTCTGCTGTGTATGTGTGTTTTTTGTTTCATTTTTGGTTGCAATATTCGAGTGGACTCTCACCGTTGGTCTGGCGAGTAAATTGACTGAGTGAGAATGGTGAGCATGGTGGCCATTTCAGCTAAATCATTCGACAGAAATATATTACGTCGAGACGGTGAAAATTTTCGTGCAATTTGTTACAATTTGCGAACAGAGCACGGCCACTGAATAGAAACGAGAAGAAAAAGAAATAACGAATTGATCATACAATCTCGTTCTCTCAGTTTTCAGTTGCTTTTTTGTATTACAAACAGTAAATGAACTAGGCGGGTTTTTCTTTTTTCATTCTGATAAGTTTTCTTTTTCGCCGCATTTTCTCAATTTAATCGAGAAAAATTCTTGTTACGAGAAACGTGTGAAACCCCATCGAACTTAGGTTTCGAATATCGTTTTTTCGTCGAAATGAAAACGAAAAAGAAAACATGTTGATTTAATTTAGGTTTGCCAGACCTAGCACACTGAATGCCCTTTGAAATCGACGATACGAAAAGAGAAGAAAAAAAAACATAAGAAAACATTGTGAATTCGGTTAATGGTTTTGGCGGTTTCAAGGCGATCCGATTAAGTGAGAGTCAACATCTAACGCAATCAATGACGAAACTACGCTCCTTTAGTCTAGTTACTCAACATTTTTACCCACACCTCGTGTCCCACTGCTACTACTACTTCTTCTCATTTTTTCTATTCTTATTCTCTTTCTCTCGCATATTTTCTCTTTTCGCATGGCTCATTTGTGATCATAAACTAAACAAATCCCCCCAAAAAAAAAGAAAACAAATACTGTGAAAATTCAACAAATAAAGCTCGATTCATCATGCGCAAACGGCAAACGCACAGATCGATTCATAGTTGCAAATCCAATTGGAACAAAAATGTCTGTACCAGTTTTTCACGTATTTTTTTTCTCAACAAAAATGTTCTAAAAATAAATGAAAAGAGTCAAAGATAAACGCGAAAGAATACAGAAAAGCAGAAAACGCCGATGAAGAATAGAGCAGTAGTAATACGGCTCAACCAATTAGTGGTCAACAGTAACGACGCCTATTGAATTATACAGACTCTTTCAATGGGTTGTAGTATCACATTGGATGTCCAAGGAGCGATTTTAATCCAAATAAAAATGCGAAAATTATCGTTTTTCCTGTTTTTGTATTTCCATTCGCTGCCTCTGTTTTGCTCTGCGAATTTTGTGTGTACCGAGTCAGTGCGATGATTTACGATGTAATTGTAAGCGTTAGAAAAATCGGGCAATGCTTTAATGAGACTGTGCGCGTTTGTGTGCTGTGTTTGTACAGTGTGTCAGTCAGCATGAACATATATGTGTTGCAAACCGCTTACGCACTAAATTCTGATGACGTTTTATTTTCGTCGCACTTCAGACACTTTCCCGTTGTTATTATTTGTGTTGTTGTTGTTAGTGCTGTTGCCACTTTTAATGGGTTAATTTTAATATGCGAAGGCCTAACAATGAACATAGTATGGCGCTTCGGATTTGTTTCTATCGTTCTCTGTCTGACTCCCGTTGCGCTGTTGCTCGGACTGATCGAGAACATTGGATCTGTGTAAACTGAACTAAAGATTGCAACATTTACGTTTGCATGCATCTCCATATGACAATCAATTCGAGTGTTATTTGACCTTGAAATTTGGGTGAACTTTTTCAAAATCCATTCGATGAGAGAGCTGTGTAACCATTTGACCGAGTTCGGTACACATGGCATTTGTAGCTTAAAATAAACGATCGTGAAATCTTTTTCGTAATATTTCAACGTAACCATTATCGACGGATGCCGTAGAAGTGGCTGAACAGAACGTCAGATAAACGACCGAAACTCGAATTTGAAATGCTGACACTTGATAAGGACCAGATTTCATTGGTGATGTTCAATATTGAATGTTTGAATTTATGATCAGTAAACACGAAGCAAAGTCAAGAGGAAATGAGCTTGTGAAGCACTGCTGGCTGTTTCCAATGTTTGCATGCCGTCTTTTCACGTGGCCTATTCAATGTGAATACACATTGATCTCCTCTTTTCTCTATGAAAGACATTTCCCACAAATCATAGCAAAAATTCAACTAATTAGATGCAATTGAAACACTTCATTTCATTTGTCGACGATCAAATTTCCATATTTCGTTTGCCATTGACACACACGCACACACGCCAAAAGAAATTATAGCACAACTCAGAAAAACGGTTGCCCATTTCGCTGCTCAGTGTCTCTCTCATGTGCGATTCCTTCGACGCGGATGCTTCTTTTTTTAGTTTTTCGTCTGTTTGTTTCATTTTCGTCTTTTTTTTCAATTTTTTTTCTCGCTCCTTTCTATCTACTTTAAATTATATAATCAAGCAATGGTTTAACTTTGCACACACGCATCAAATTGGCTACAAACACATTCGCGCACTCATGTCGACGAGTCAGAATGAGCGAGAGCGAGTAATAGAGAAATCGGCAATAAAGTAAAATAGGGAGAGGGAGAGTGAGTTAGAGAGAAAGAGAGAGAGAGAGAGAGAGAGAGAGAGCGAAAGATACGAAAAACAGCCCGTATGAAAGTCATTCTCTTCCCCCTCTCACACGCTATTCCTTCTCGTCTATACCACATTTTCTTTCTGTATGTCATGCATAGGCTTCTGCTTTAAATATTTGGTTTCTTTCTTTGCTTCGAATTTTATTTTATTCATTTTCTCTATTTCTCTTTGAACAACAAACGATGAAAATAGATTTTCACCCATTCTCCTGTTCTTTTGACTCTCAAGTAGTTATCGAACATAAGAATGAAACCGAATGCGAAAAAGCAAAAAAAAAACGAATCACCACAGGTTTTTGTTCATAATCTGCTTCTGTGCTTTTCTCTTGAGTTTCCCACAAATGCTATCGCGACCCGCGAAATCAATATCTTCTTCGAATATCTTTAAACACGTTTTTCGATTGATTGACATTTCCATTTGCGAATCAAGTGCGAATGCCTTGGCTCAGCTATTGCTCTCTGGCCTTAACTGGAATTTCGGATGTTTTACCGTATTTTTTTTTCTTTGTCTTATTTTGGTTCCATAGCCAGTGGTCGAATGCACTATTTATCTTTCTTTCATTTTGTTCCTGGTCTTTTGTTTGTTTCACTTACACCAATAAACGGCAACATAATCTTTTTCCTGTAAGATTCGCTCAAGCTGCTTTTGGGTCACTTCTTCGATGACTGGCTCATGCACTTCAGGTGCTGATGGTCCGGAGGCTTTTTTCGCACATTCTACCGTTGCCGGAAGCGAGACAAATGCCAACAGTATGCACACAAGAGCCGCGAAAAGTTTTAAAAACGAACTAATGTTCATAACGAATGTTCGATAATTTCTAAACGGCTAAAATATACAAGTTTTTCGATGACCGAAAATAAATTCAACTTGATTTTGTTTCGAATTCGCGAGAGAGAAAAAAAATCCTCTTCCGTTCGTAAAACCGTATTGACGCGAGTTCACTTAGAAAAAGGACATTTAGCTTTTGGCCGTGGCAGCAACAACGAGAATTTCGAATTAAACGAGACGAAAGCCAAACAACAACAAAAAAACAAAAACAAAAATCAAAATTCAATATGTAATTAGAGTAATATGAGATAGGAAAACCGAAATTTCGAACGAGAAACGAAAGAAACAAACGATATCGAACGAATGAAATAAAAAAAAAATGTGGAAATGAAAAAAAGGAAAAATGATGATTAAAACTATAAGTCGTCGCGGGATTCGACTCTTTCTCACACTATAATTAACCGAACCGTACGCTTTGATGGCCCGCTCGTAACTGATCGAATCGATCCGAACTCGATCTTTCGGAGCAATGTGATTTTTCAACCAATTTTTCTTCTATTCTTTTTTTGCGAGCACGAGACGATCAAGCATCGTAGGGCGGTCAAATGTTTTTCATCACATTTTTTTTCTGCAATGTGTTTTCGTGCATATCGCCACATGTCAGGTCAATGTGGTTTTGACACTTGAACGAACGACTTACGAAATGCTGCCATAAAATAAGGCCCAAGGATACGATAGTTTGGAACCACTAAGATTGGCTAAAATTATATCAATCGAAAAAAAAAAAGCTTCAGTTTTACTATTTTAGCTTTCAATCAAACTTTTTTACTAACGAGAGACAGAGGTAAAGCTTATTTGGCTTTGTTTCAAGCTTGCGCAAAAAATTAGCATCGACATCTGTTAGTAGATTGGTGCATTGCAAATTTGTTCGCTTTAAAACCGGCAATTCAAAATCTAATTCATCACACGTAGCCATCTACGAATAACAGATTTTCCTTTGCTGACAAACGATGGAGCATTTATAGCTGCACAGTTAATAATATATTATTATTTATACTATCGGTAATAATTAATAATATAGTATTAATAATAATTAATAATATATTATTAGCTGTGCAGCTATAGGAGCATTCGTGTTATTATTTCGTGTAATTTTATTCGTAATCGTGATATATAATTATTTTTTTTCAACCTGTTCAAAATGTTCGTCATTCATTATGAATTTTGTATGAATAAACATTGGTTCACTTGACGTTCACCTGGAAATGGAACTAGAAATATGAAACGATTCTATGGATTATGTGTGTGTACTTTATGGTGGTATGGGTCATATTTTACATCTAACATATATATATAGGTATTTTTACGGTTTCCCCCATGTTGTCATGATTCGAATGAATCGATTCAATACAGCGTATGGAAAACTATAGCCAACGACATGAAGTAGAGGTGCTCACACTCGCTTGCATTTGTGTGCGTACGCAAAGTCAGTCATTTTATCTAAATCATACCAACAACAAACCGCGATCGGTACACAATCAGTATATTATAGCAACTGAAAGCTATCGCGTTCAGATTTCATTTCACATAAATTGAATGGAAGTTTGGGAGAAGCTTTAATTTGACGATCGTATCGTGTGTGCGCGGATTTTATGATAGAGGTACCTATCACGGGCTCCCCGCTAAATATTCAAATTGGAATTGTGTGGAAAAGTACAATTTGTGGTGTCGAATGGTTTTTCTCAATCTTTTTTTCTCGAAAAAACTCAAGTTTCATCAAGTTAAAAATCATCTCGTGTTTTAAGTGGACTGTGGACAGTCATTACTTTGAATTGAACCATTAGTTGGAACTGAAGGGCCAAAATATACTTGGGTCTAGTATCGACTTCGTACTATGGATGCGTCAGAATAACAATTACTTGCAACTAATTCGTTCAGTTCAACCTAATAGCTGTCTAACGAGCTCTCTAGGGGCTTCTATGTCGGTTTGGCATTCGAATTTTTATTCACAAATTCGCGCTCAGTGCCATGCATTCGCAACGCTGCCATATGATTTCTATGTAAACATTCGCACTCGCATTCGTATAGCAGTCGTATTTCGCTGTTCTCGAACATTCTCACGAATGCGAGTGCGAATGTTTACATAGAAATCATACGGCAGCGTTGCGAATGCATGCATAAACACGAATGAACGAATGAATTATGTAGTCACAAGTTCGCTGTCATAGTCGCATTCGTCGCATTCGCAAACATTCGAATTTTTGTTCTGTAATGCGAATGCATTCGCGAGAGATAAATCCCCTTAGCGAGCTCTTTTACTTTTACTATTTGACAACCAAAATTGTACCACCGTGAAAAGATTTTTATTCAGCACTAATTCTGTGGGGAGCTAGTGACAGTAACCTAAAACATTCATTTTTAGTCAAAGCGAACCTTAACTTCGAAGACACATCTAACATTTGTTACCATTCTGAATTGTTCTTTAATTGAAAACGGTTGATTTTTTTCGGTCGTAACGAAGTCGCGACTTTTAACGGGAATTTGTGTCTTAGCTCTCAGCGAATTATTGATAGTGTCAAATGTGTTTTGTGTAATTTTAGTAAAATGTCGAGGCAATTCCATGAAACATTCACCAATGGTCAACACGACGAACATTTCAAGATCATTATCGTCGGCGGCGGCTTGGTAAGCCGATTCTTATTTTCAACTTCTTTTCAAAAAATCTGTTCTTCCATTTGGCTGAAGTTCCAAATTTGAGCTGACTCCCAAGACAGCTGACACTTTTTATCATAATTTTATGTATGATCGAAATTTTTGATGAAAAACATTATTGAACAAGACCGTTCTTGAGATTTTAGTTACTTATTCTATTTTGTTGTTGTTTGAAATGTATTTCATCAAAGTAACTTTGAAATAATATATTTATTTGCAACAAAGTAGGTACAGAAAAAAGATTTTCTCAGTTATCTCAATAATGAATTAAAAGATCTTGATTTAATTTCTTTTTTTTTACTACCTTAGGTTTAAATTAAATAAATAATATGAGCATAGATCTAAAGTCACTTTAAATCTGTTCAAGACCCAGAAAATACTGTACGTAAAACCTTGAAATAATTTAATTTAAAAAAAAAATTCGTCATAAAAATTTGATTGGCGCTTCGAGATATTATGCAGTTATTTGTCGTTACTGCCACTGTTTTGAATTAAATAAAAAATATGAGCATAAAATTCAAATTCACCATAATTTGTTTTAGTACTCAAAAAGTATTAAGACGAAAAAAAGCAGATTAGTAGCTCTATATTTCATGTAGTGCCAAAAATGAGGAAAAAAAACAATGTGCAGAAAATATTTAAATTCATCGATTTATAAGATAATTTGTTCTGAAACGATCAAAAAGCAGTTCGATCTCATGTCATCATCTAATCAACATTTGGCGTACTTCACATCAACGTCCTCTTATTATTACATTTCCGATATAAATGCTGTAAAATGCTTCTTATCGATAATAATCGGAATTATTAACAATATCAATTATTGTTTATCAAGCATTGATTACACTGTAGTAACAAAAAAACGTATGACGAGCAAAGATAAACCTCATATTTCGTTTACAAAAGGCACGCGCAGTACATAAGAGCCATTGAAAAAGTCAATTGATGCGCATAAGTAGCGCAACCTCTAATGATTACGGAGAGTTACCATAAGTCGTATGAAATTGATGTTGAGAAAAAGAAGAAGAAGAAGTAGACATTCTATTCATTCACATTGCAATAATGGCAATCAGTAGAGATGGTGCTCATGTGCCGATCATACAACTGTTATAACCCTTCGTTTATTTTGATTCTACAAATTGATTCTACGTCAAAAGATAGGTGCAAAGTTAAGAGCAAATTTGTAGAAAAACCGGTGTTCAAATGTTCAGGGACCCAGATTTTTTTAACGAAAAAATGGTAGTTGTTCAAGACAAAAACATCGTAAGAGGCCGTTTTCGACCATTTTTTTAACATCACTGACAAAAAATTTGAAAAACATTTTTTTTCACTGAATCCACCAAAAACGAAATACTATGAGGTTTATCTTGGCTCGCCAGCAACTAAAATCTGACGTTCATGTGTTGAACCGTACATTTCAAAAGTGTAAAATGTTACTTACTACAGTTTGTATTATTTTAAATTTCAATCTCGGCTATCGCGATTTGCGATCAAAAATTCAAATTCTAGATGAACCCAATGTGGTGCAAATGAACAAATGTGATTTTTGCCGAGTGCAAATAAAATAAGCCGGTGTATTTGTTTTCCTTATCTTGATGAATGATATTAACCGAATATTTTAAGAAAACGACGAGAGAAAACAAATGAATTTATGATTCTGAAGATCATGTATGAGTAATTTGGCTGGAAATTTTTGGGCAAAACAAACAGTGACTGAGACGTACATCGGATTAAGAATTTTTCAAAAACAAAACAATATCATTCACTTTTGCGGACAGAGCTCGTCTCTGCTGCTGTAGATTAAAACGTAGCTAATCAAAAAAAAGAAGAGATAGTAAAGTTGGTAGCAGCATGTACTGTACATTCTATAAATCAGAATCAATCGTTGAATATCAACTCAATTCAAACATTTTTTTCCGGGATAACCAAATATATTTTAAATATTTACAATTTTAAACACAATCAGGTCGGGTCATTGGCTGCATTACATTTGGCAAAAAAGGGGCACGATATCCATTTGTATGAGTATCGAGAGGGTATGTTCTAACTGTGGATGTGTTTTATGTTTCTATCGTTGACAATTTATTAATCTTGAATTTCGTTAGATATCCGTACGGTAGAACAGGTTCAAGGGCGTAGTATCAATTTGGCATTATCGGTACGAGGTCGGAAAGCACTGGCCCAAGTGGGTTTAGAGCAGAAATTATTGGAGCATGGCATACCGATGCGTGGTCGAATGTTACATGATCTAAATGGTCGAACGCAAGCTGTACCCTACGATTCGAACACAAATCAGGTTCATATTTGACACGTTGTGTCCATGCATACAATATTTGACGATTTATTCATTTTGACATTTCCAGTGCATTTATTCCGTTGGTCGCAAGCACTTGAATGAAATCCTATTGAATGGTGAGTAAACGTAGCTAAATTGGCTGGAAACATATTCACATAAAATCAACGGGGGAAATTGTTAGTTCTTTTGTATTTAAAGAGCAACGCCAATATTCACGTGACGGCTTTTTTAAGACAAATACTCACATAAACAAAATGTCTTCATTTAGACGAAATGAATATTTTACGCACGTACCGTATTCAATTACAACGAATACCGTAACTGTAGATTCGTTGCAGCTTTTCAAAATGCGTTTGGGTATCGTTTTTCCAGCGCTTAATGCTATTATGTGTTGGCATTTCAGTAGGTGAAACATTATTATGTTTCAATGGTTGTTTTTGATATGCATCATAGTAGTATCGGTGGAATTTTCATAAGTCACATGTCGTTATGCTTTATACCATTCCAATAACATTGCCTCTGTTTCAATAAACTTTAGAGGCGGCGAGATATCCAAATATTCACTTGAATTTCAACAAAAAATTGATATCAACCAAATTACGGTGTCGCCAATTGACCTTCCATGAGTGAGTATCGAATTGATTTTAATCGGTTAATTTTTCGTTTTAATATTAGTTTTTGATTTTCATTGCACAGTGAAACAAATGATGGAGAGGAAAATGTAGCGGGTGATTTAATTATTGGTTGTGATGGTGCATTTAGTATGGTACGTCGACACATGCTACAGAGCCCTGGATTTGACTTCAGCCAAACGTACATTGACCATGGATATATTGAATTATGCATACCACCTGCCAATAACGAGGTATACACATACAAAACATCCATTTTTTTAAATCAATACTAATTTATTCAAATTTTCAGCATCAAATGGAGTTGAATTATTTACACATTTGGCCACGTGGCAAGTTTATGATGATTGCACTCCCGAATCAAGATAAATCGTGGACCGTCACCTTGTTTATGCCATTTTCGAACTTCGATGCAATCAAAACAATCGATGAGCTTCTCGCATTCTTCACTGAAAATTTCCCCGATGCTATCGATTTGATTGGTGAAAAGCGGCTCATTGACGATTTCTTCAGAGCAACGCCGCAATATTTGGTGTCAATTAAGGTAGAACTTAACTCAGTCTTATATCAAATGTCTAACTCAGTCTTTTTACGATTTTTTTTAATGCACCGTCTTACCTGACACAGTGTCGCCCAACTTACATCGATCCAAATGTTTTGCTGATGGGTGATGCAGCCCATGCAATGGTTCCATTCTATGGCCAAGGAATGAATGCTGGCTTCGAAGATTGCACGATTCTCAGTCAGATTCTTGATCAACATCACAATCACTTTCATTTGGCATTGAAGGAATTTAGTGATACACGATGGCAAGACGCTCAGGCCATTTGCGATTTGGCCATGTACAATTATCTCGAGGTGTGTTTTGATCACAAAACATACTATTTTTTTTGCCGGCAAAGTCAAAATCTTTTCAATTTGCTCCGAATGAGAGCTATCTATCTCACACTGTCTCAAAACATGCACAAACATCCCGTCATAATTACCGTTCTGTTGTTTTTTAGATGCGAGATTTAGTGAGAAGCAGATCGTATCGGTTGCGTAAAATATTTGATGAGTTCCTTTACCGGTATTTCCCGAACCATTGGGTTCCACTCTACAATTCGGTTACATTTACTCACATGCCATATAAGCAGTGTATCGAAAATCGAAAATGGCAAGACAAGGTTAGTATTAAGTATATAGTAAATTTTAATTTACCTCTTTTGACTCGAAATTTAAAAAAAACATTCTTATTTTCATTCAATCAACAGGTTTTGTCACAAATAATTGCATTTGGATCAGTCCTTGGTATGGTCGTTCTATTTGCCTTGGCATACAATTTTTATTCATAAACATTGGTTTCATGTTACAAAACTACGAGAATATGAAATTCATTAACAATTTCCAATCTCGTCAAAAACAAATCATAGGTACATATGTGTCGTTGAGAATAAAAATGGGATTAGCCGAAACCGCTCATTTACATGTGAATCATTTTTATGTTCCTGGTAAGAGATAGAAGACATATGTCTGCTGCAATGTTTTAGAATATTTCAAGATCTTTATCTTTGCTTGAGATACTTACCCCATATCTTGTACCAGAAACACAAAAATGATTCGCATAAAAACACGCGGTTTCGGCTAATCCCATTTTTATTCTCAACGACACATATAGTGTAGGTTGTGTCAGTTTATATTCACTATTTTGTTTTGACTGAATGCTATTTTCACAAAAGAATTGTACGAAAGTTCGAAACAGTGTTTCGACTGCAAAGGAAGTTCAGGATTGGCACGAATGATTTTTAGCACGGGTTTTACACGCAATATTGTTAATGGGATTGTGAAAAATAAACGATATTAATAAAAAAACATATGTTTTTATCTTCATAAGAGTGTCAAACACTGGTTGACCAATGAATAATTAATTTAAAATGCTTGAATTTTTCAAATTATATTGGACAAATGAGTTGTACAATGTACAACGGACATTCAAATTCCCAGTAAAGTGAAAATAACCAAGCATACGACCGTGTGGAGTGCATTAAGGTCATGCGCAGAATTGAATGAAGTGTCATCGAGTGTTGGTTCTTGTTTTGTTTTTGACAACTAAACTTGGCACGAAAACAAACATTTGATTGGAGTCGGAATGTTTGAATTCCGAAAAAATATCAAACTCAAAAGTTTTCCCATAATTTCATTATTAGTTGTTATCAGTTACACTGTGATTATTTTAGCCGATAGAAATGGCGATGTTATATTTCAATTTCCCGAATACGATTACAAGGAGACAAGCAAAAATGTATCAGTCGTTCTGATTGTTTATTGATTTATTCAGATTTCTTGTTCACCTAAATACAAAAGTTTTAAATAAATACGCAATAAATTTTGTTTTGTAGGAACTCTCATATCGTGAGTTTGAGTCGGCCTGTGACCAGAGCAAACGGTGTGAACCATTAGCAAGAATGGCACGACTTCGTTGTGTGCGAGAATGTATTTCACCATCGTGCTATCAGGAGATCTATGAATTCGATGAGGTGATTAAAAAACTAAATAACATTACAATAACAAAACTTAAATATACGTTTTTTCTACATGTTTCTAACTCTGAATATTTGCAGCTCGAAGAGGGTGAGATTGATGTACGATTGAATTCGTTCAAGGGCTGCTTCATCCAGCGCTTGGGACGGTCTCGTAATAGATAAATACCATCCAATGATACATATATTCATTTTTAAATGAATTCTTTGTGCAAATTATTACTATTTGTGTTCAGATCAAAAACGATTCGTTTACCGGATGAACAACATTGTGGAAAATATTAATAAAGAAACAAAAATTAATTCCGTTTTTATGGAACATACATCAAACGATTCTGGTTGTTTTGATACTTTTGTACTTTGTACTTGTTTATGCTATTTCTAAGTGGACTTTGTCGTGGTTTTCGATATACTTGGATTTGTTTGTTTCGAATAGTTCGATGAGTCGTTTGCGAAATAGAGCATGCAATTCGTCAATTTCATCATTGGACGGCGTGGCATTTTTGATGCAATCAATCGGCTCGCCGATAACAAGGGTGATTGGATGGCGTCGAGGAATTAAGCCAAAATTTTGCTGGAACAATCCACGGCCGTTGAACAGAACGGGCGCCAATGTTGTATACTTTTTGATGATTTCCTGAATTTTGCGCACCGCCGAACCATTCTCGTTCTGCGTTGTATCGTACACACTTGTCTCGCCGAATGCGATGGCGGGCACTAGTGCGGCTCCGTTTTGGATTGCCAGGCGTACAAATCCTTTGCGAGTATTAATAAAAATCTTATAAGAATTTGGTGCACTCAAAAATGCTTCACGCGCACCGCCAAACATCACAATTGCTGCATTTGATGTAAACCCATCCTTGTTGATCGCATCAGATGGATCGTGCGATTGTGACAGCAATGTATTTATATTCTCGGCTGACGAATCTGAACAGCCCCAACTCAAAATGAGCTCTCGAAATATCGGAAACAACATATTGATGCTCAGAGTCAACACTTTGGATCGAATGTTCGGAAACAAATTGCGCCATTTCGAGTGATTGGTCATGCCATTTGTTAGAGCACCAAAACTGTCCGGTGGAACAAATGAAATTAGTTAATTTACGAATACTACGTATTTTGATTAAACAATTTATTCTCACCAAAGAATCCCATGTGGACAACAACCGATCAGATAATGCCGATTCGATGGCAAATCAACGGTTTTTACCAAATCAACAGGAAAGTAATCGATGACATACTTCCAAATACGCCAATTACGCACCCATTCGCATCTAGGAACAAAGTTTTAAAAAAAATGTAAATGCAGTGCAAACAATACTAAATTTAAGTTAAAAAAGTAATAAAATGTCTTACCCAATCCCACGACCACCATTTGAAGGCGTATCAAAGTCAATATAAAAGAACACCAAATACGAAACACACAGGACTTGTGCATAAGTATTGCCAAAGATCTGAAATTTGAAACATGTGGATGATATTTTTTAAAGTATAAAACCAGATTTTAGATTCAAAGGCAACCCGACAACCCGCAAAACAATCCCAAAAATCTGTGAAAAAGAGTAAACAAAAGCAACACCGCATACGTACCAATAGGTAAACAATCGCAATCGTAAATACTATTCCACCAAATAGAATGAATAATACAAGAAAGCCGACTGACAGTAGTTCGTATCGACGATGTGCACGCACATTTGATGACCATTCGTTAATCATGACGCTCTTTAGCTATTTTTTCTGGCGCACAATGTGTTTGTATTCGAACTATAAAATTTACACTTTTCAAAGAATAACTAAGATAATTTATTTTAGATATGAAATTTTGACATTTATTTCGGCGCAAAAAATGAGAAATTTATAGATTCAAACGACGTTTAGTTTGAATGGAGACTCGAATCACGATGGTGTTTAGCACGTTGTGTTCAATGTGTTTAACTATCGATGACACGTTCCGAACGGACAACAACAGCAACAACACAACCGAGATGGTATCGTGTGAATGTAACTCAAACGGTTTTCATCATTTGACACACTGACACAGCGGAGACAAATCACAGCGTGCAAATTTGATACACACAATCGAATTGACATCTCCAACTAATACTAATATCCATAGCATGTTGCTGTTGCTTCAAACGTTTTATGCTTAGCTCCACTGAACTGTCAATGCGTTGAATGGATTTATGTTTTTACACTTTGAGCACCGCTTATCAAGTGGCACCAAAAAATATTCGGTGCATTTTCAGTTAATTCCAATTTATGAGGTTTTTATGATGTTGAAATCTTGAGTACGCATTGCGTTTGCACTTGAATACAAAGAACAAGAAGATAAGTCAAGTGTACGGCGACGATAAAACCAACCGAAACGCAAACATGTGGTTTTCTGCTACGTTTACTTTATTGTAGCAATGAGCTATCAGAACGGTGCGATGCGATAAGTTGCCAAAGCCATTGAACTTTGTCACGCTCAATTGAGGAGGCACTTCATTTTTTTGACAAAAAAAATCTACAACACGAAAATTGTATTTTGTAAACAATAACATTTTAATTTTTATAAAAATACTAATACAAACATGTGATAACCTTAAATTATTTCGACATGGACATTTACGTAATCTTCAACATATTTGCTTTTGTGTGTTTCGAACAATTCGGTTAGACGTTTACAGAATAGTTCGTGCACTTCGTTAACTTCATTGGCACTTGGGTTCAGATTCTTTTCCAATTCAATCGGTGCACCGATAACAGTTGTGATTGGATGACGTCTCGGGATAAAGCCAAAATTGTATTGAAGAAAACCACGTCCAACTAAATGAACCGGCGCTAATTTGGTATATTTTTTAATGGTATCTTGAATGTAGCGTATCGTTGTGCCAGGCGCATGATGAATTTGTTCGAATATGTCATTTTCTCCAAAGGAAATGGCCGGCACTAGAGGTGCGCCCGTTTTTAATGCAATCTTTACAAAACCTTTTCGATCTTTTAGCACAAATCGATACTGTTTTGGGAAGGCACTCAGAGCTTCTTGAGCTCCACCAACCATTAGCACCGGTGCGTTCGATGTGTATCCATCGCCATTCGATTCATGATTCGGATCATTCGATTGAGTTAGCAACGTTCTCAATGAATTTGATGAAGCTGAGCACATACCCCAGCTAAGAATGGAATTGTTTGTTATTGAACAACAAAAAATCTCAAAATATTTCAATTCATACGTAACCTTAGAATCATCTCACGCATTATTGGCATGTAATGATGGTAGCTGAGAGTTGTACATTTTGAGCGAATTCCCGGGAAAAGTGATGGCCATTTCGAAAAGTTCGATCCAAAATTTGCGAAAGCACTTTGACTATTGCCGAAGTAAAGAACCGAAAATCAAATAAACATTCAATTTTTCAATTTTTTAATAAAGTTTTCTTTTTAATTTCCCCACTTTTTTCTGTTTTAAGTAAAAGGGGGCCATTTTGGAGCATCACTTACCATAGAACACCATGAGGGAACAAACAGATTAAGTAGTTGCGGTCAGCAGGTAAATCGACTGTTTTTACCAAATCAATAGGGAAATAATTTAAATAGTGTTTCCAAATCCATAGCTCCCTGGACCATTTGTTGCTGTAAATAGACGCCGATCGACTCTGTACAATTTTTTTTTTCTTTGCTTTATCATCAAAATGTGCTACTTACCCTGCACCTCGACCTCCACTGTCACCTGCATTGCGATCGAACGACCAAAGAAAGAGAAAACAAGCAGCGATAACAGCAAAACAATTTAATTGTTAAACGATTATTTATTGATTATTTTCAGTCTAATACCTGCATTGCGATCGTAGTAAATGAATGCCGCATACAAAATGCTTATCGCTTTCAAAAAAATATTTCCAGCGTACTTCCAAAGAACATGCAAAATTGAGAGAGATCTGTTTTTAAGTGAATGAAATAGTTGTGTGTGTGTGTTTGTTTTATTACCACCCAATAAATCATTACGATCGCGCTAATAGGCCCAAGTATCAAAGCGACAAACATTGCAAAAGCCGCGCAGAAGACTTCCAATCGACGGTGCATTGGCACATTCCATGGCGTCCACTGTATTTTCATTTTGTTTTATGCGAATGTTCCAATAAAATAAAGAGAAACAAACAGAATGTGTTGAACAAAAATACCGATAGAAATTAGTGAGTAGGAAAAAACATCCAGCTGCTAAGCCAGATCAATACTGAATGGTGAGTGGCAAATGATAGGCGCGATACACCTACCTTTGAACAGAGAAAAAGTATTGTTCAATGTGAACTGGGCTCAAGATAAGATTTGGATTCGATTTTCTCAGACTAATCAAAATATGATATCACAGTCGTCCAAGGTTTTGAACCAAATCGAAGTTCAATCGAAAAAAAGAAAGAAAGAGAGGGGAAAAAAAATCAAGCAGCAACAATAACAAAACAAATCTAATTGTTAAAGGGTTATTTATTCAGTATTTTCATTTTAATAAAAACAATCATAATTGTTGCAATTTGAGAATTAATCTATAAACAATTTTCCCCATTCTTCAAGTCATCTCATTCATGCATCGTAAAATTCTCGTGTTTTTTTCTTCTTCTTATTTTTCTTCATCTTCATTTAAACGTTCCACCTCCTGACTTCATCATCAATTTTTATTCTAGAATTTTTTTGTTTGTCTCTCAGTTAAAATTAACAATATTTTTTCTCCATTTGTAATTTACACCTGTTTAAATAGTGGGAATGTGTATGTTTGTGTGAGTGAAAGCGAGATTGGCTAATGAGCGTTTTGTGTTCAATGGTATTACTTCTTGTCATTTGAGTTGATTATATGTGTTATTTGCAATTTAAAAATGTGTGCTAGATTGATTGATTGATTTGTTAAATTTTATTTCCTTATTAAAAGCCGTTGTTTTTTTTCGTGAGAAGATTTAACTAGAATGCGTTTGTAAAATATGGATCTAAATTCTACTTTGTTTGTTTAGTTAGTTTTTTCTCTCCACTTTTCTGGTACTGTTTTAGTTTTGTGTGACACAACAGTGGGAAGGGGCATTTGTATCGTTTCATTCATGAATCAAGAAGAATTTGTGTTAGAACACAGAAATTCATTCAGGCTTGACTCTACCAAACAGGGGAAATAACAAAAGAATTAGAGATATTTTGGAATGGAAACAAATGAAAGAAGATTACAAATTTTATTTTGTCGTTTTGTCTAACTTAAGAAATGAACGATTGGCACATTCCGAAAAAAGAGATAGATAACGTCGTCTGAAATGTATAGATTTCATAATGTGCGGTATAATTGGAAAAAGCTGCAAAGCGATGATTATTATATTATGTATAGTATTGTATATATTTTATTTTTGGTTTGTCGATTTTGGTTTTTCTTTTCAAGTCAAATCAATTTCGGGGGCAGAAACGGATGTATTGGAGAGTGTGCATAAATATCATTCGGTGTTGTATGTCAGTAATAGTTTTTCGATTTTTTTTTTACTTTGTGTTATATTCAATATTTAGGCCAAGAGGTATTCACAGTGTGTTTCTATAATCACGATGCAATTACAGTTTGTTTCTGCGCGTGCGTGTATGTGTGTGTTTGTTTATTTGTAAAGTTTCAACAATCGGACACATGAACTGAATGAAACACATCTTGAATATTTTCTTTGTGTAATGTGGACGCTAGGCATGGTACATGTTATGGGTTTTAGATTTAATAACTGTTTTTATATCAGATATACAGGGTGGCGCACTCGAAGTGTAACTAAAACCAAAGACTATAACTTTTTTGTTTTTGATAATTTTTATTGCTCTTAAGGCATGAAATGTTGTAAAATGATTAAAAATTTTGAATCAGCTTCCAGATTTCAATATCACTTGCATTGGATTGAGTTATGACTTCAAGACTACGATTCAACAATATGAGCCCTGCACGAACGTGGGTGTTTGGAATTAGTTCTTATTCTGGCTAAAGTCTTCATATTGAGATAACCCATGTTTGGTATTTTTGTGGCCTAACAGTGCCTTGTAATATACTTCAGGAATGAAAGTCCTTGGAAACCCTCTTCATCAAAATCGACCAAAATGAGCTCTAAAAAGTCGTTTTTTTCACCGAAGCATGGCTTTCTTCTAATATGGGTTAAATTTAAGTATTTTATTGGAATCTTCTGGAACCATTATGGCCTGGTTTATATTTATAGAGCTCCAATCTTCAACCCAACACCAATGACGTCACATGATGTCACTTATTTTGGGGTCAGAATGGAGAAAATGGTGAGAAAATCCCATAATTCGGGACTATTACAGTTCCGACCTTCAAAAGGAGTTATACATGGGTGATAGTGGTCCAATAAAGACTGGAGCTATTTTATGATATTCTACGAACTAGAATCTAAACACTTTCATGGTTTGTGGTTACTCAAGCTATATTAGATTTCTTCTAAAAGTTCTATTTTTGTAAAAACTACCACTCCGTGCAAACACATTTAAAAAAAAATGGTGGATGTGAGGGCATTACTCGATCCAGTGCAACTGAAAATAAAATCTGGAAGCTGATTCTAAATTTTGTATCATTTTGCAACAATTTGGTGCATTTAGAGCAATAAAAAATATGAAAAAACAAAAAAGTTATAGTCTTCTGTTTTAGTTGCACTTCGAGTGCGCCACCCTGTACTATCATTTACTAGTCTTCTTCGTCTCCTACTTCTTTTTCTTCTTCTTTTTAACTCATTTTAACTATTCCCTGAGCTAAAAAAAACAACAAATTGATGCAATAATAAAAAAAAGTGTTCTGAACAACTATCGATTGTGGAACAGTCAGAATAGTTCCAGAAATCATAAGCAGAAGGTACACTGAGTGAGGCCTAAGAAAAAGAAGAAGAAAAACCACATTCGAAATGGAAACACATGTGAACAGTAGTAATCAACAGCAGTCAATGGAATATATCAATGCATATAGTTTTCTTCATTTTTCTTCTTTTTTTATTTCCATTTTTTGCAATCTAATTCGATTATTGTAACTTGGTCACGCTGTCATTTCTCAATTATAATAATTGCACACAAAAATACATACTTTCAATGCATTCAACAATATTGTTTTATCAATGCTCTGTGTTCATTGTTTTTTCTTTCTTTTGTTTTGCTAATGTTTAACTGCCACAATATTGTTTATATACAGCGACTACAGAGGATGTGTCAGGTCATTTCATTTCTCTCTATCTCGCTACAGTATAGAATTCATATTTACTTCAGAAATTTTGAAAAGAAAAATGTGTTATAACATTATCTACTTGGATTTATTTTTGTTATTTCTTTTTTCATTGTGGTTGTTCTTGTTGTTGTAAATAAATGCTTGTGGACTACTTTTTTCATACCGTGTATGTGTATGTATGTGATTTGTCAGGTGTAAATATATATATATATATATATATTATATATATATATATATTCATTTTTCTGTTTCATTTTTCATATAACATCATCATTTGGAGCAGCAGAAGCGAGTTTAAGTTTTAACCCTTTTTAAAATTGGTGAACGAAGCTTCAAACGTGCAAGATAAAAATGGCTTGGTTTCATCTTAAATGCGGCAAAATAAGAGCTATATTGTGAATGTGTGTTTATGGTTTTTTTTCGTTTGTCAAATTTTTTCAGTTTTCAGTTCACAAATGAATCTCACTTCATTTTTGTTTTCGTGTTAGGTTTTTCTTTTTTTGGTTCAATTCGGATTTCGATTCAGCGAATACGTTCATAGAATGTGGGTGCAAATAGCAGTTAAGTGTTCCATTTACATTATAGTAATAAGTAAAAGGGAGGGGGCCCCCCCGCCGTAGAATGGAGATCGAAGTCTGTGATCATTCTCGTACTAGTATTGTTGGTGTGTTGTTTGTTTGCTTTGTTGTTGTTTATTTTCAATTAGCTTATTCATTTATTTGCAATCTTGTAACATAGTTCAATATAATTTTCAATCTTAACTATTAGATAACACATATTGTAATTTCATTTTTTTTTTCTTCAAATTTTATTTCTCATTTTACTTATACAAGTTAATCAATTAAATAGCGAGATTGTTAGCTAATCAAATGTTCAAGTACATAGTTCAGCTGACCACATGGTCAAAGTGAGTTTATATATTTGGCTGATCGATGGAACGATACATGTCTGGCTAGTGTAATTGTATTGTTGTTGTTGTTGTTGTTGTTAATTTCGGGCAAAAAGCTATGAGTAGATGATTTGATCGATTTTAAATTTGAGCCTCTTGAGTGAATTACTCAAGAAATCTTATCAAATGCAGCATACGCTTCTTTAGGTCATCTATTCATTATTTACAGTGGCAAAACTATCGGATCAACTATGAAAATAGGTGGAAAACTCGGTTCGCACATGTGATCAGCTCGTAAATTTTTTTGTTGTTGTTCTTTTCAAATGTATTTTAGAAGTTATTTCGATTTGAAATGAATATTTTAAATTGTCCAGTTCAAATGAACCGATTTTATTGAAACATAACCAAAAAAGAATTAGTTAATATTAATTACATGATTTTAGATACTTCTTTTGTGTTTGTTTGTTTTGGTTTTTTAATTAAAAAGTTTTTTTTTTGTTTTGTTTTAATTCCTCTATAAATTTTTTCATAAGAATAAATCTAAATGGTGGAAGTACAGTGTAATCGTACATTTGTTTTCTTTCTCTTTTTCTCTCTCATGTGATTCTTGCAATTTTTTTTTTTTGGATTTTATTTCTGTTCTTCTGTCAGTAAAATATGTTAAACACAAAGTTGGATCTCGAATATTTGCTTTTTCGGTTATTTAGTTGCTGTTCTTCTTCTGTTTGTTGAGTGTCAGGGTTTTAAAAGAGAAGAAACGGAAATTGGTTTCGAATTACGTGACATAAATGTGATTGATTTTTGTTATATTATAATTAATATAGAATATCGGACGCTGAAGACATAAGTGTTAGAATTTGAGTCGATTCATGATGAGAAGATTACTTTACCGCATCATTCCCTAGTACGTTCAACTTTAACGTTTTTTGTTTCCTCTAAAATATTTGGTTGTGTGTTTTATGTATTTCCATTTTCTTTCATTTTGTTTTGTTCGTTAGTTGGATTCTGTTTTTAAAATCCATCATACATGTAGCGTTCGAAGTAAAACGGATATAATAACCAACATTTAGGCGATAGCTGTTGGTTATTGTTTTCAGTTTATTGAAATCTGGTGTTGGATTCTTTTTGTTTGTGCTGTGCACGCACTAAATGTTCCCTCTTCTTCTCGCTCGATATATAATCAAAAAGTATTAGCATTTTTACTTTTTTTTTCTTTAAATTTGTTATCTCAATTAATAATAAGAATATACTATAAACATTTTTTAAAGTTTTTTTCTTCATATAAATCCTTTTAACATACAGGATAAACAGCCCAATTTCCAAAAATGAAAATAAAGAATTAGAAATAAAAAAGAATAAAATTGTTGTTGTTGTTGTTGTTATTTTCTTCTCATGCGATTAATGCTTTGAATTGTCCCTATTCGCATTGAATATACACAATGAAGAACAGAAGCAAACCAAACCACAAAAATGATATATCAATTGGTTTGTTCAGCGTTCAGACGATTATACTGACTATAACATTATTTCATTAATTATTTGTTTTAAACATATCATCATCAATTTGCTAGTTAGGTGTTACGTGCGTGGAATTCAAATCCACACCATCGATAGAGAAAACGAAAGAGAGACAAAATTTGGAATACGTTTTGTTGCTTTTTGTTTTGATTAAATACAATATTTTCTAATAATTTTTTTCTTCTTCTTATGTATTCCTCGGATATTAGTTGTGACAAATGGTGTTGTTGTTAATTCAAAACTCAACTAAATTATTTTCATTTTTACTAGATTAATTAGTATAGATTTTGTTGTTGTTGTTGTCCTGATAGAAACACTAAAATGTGGCTAACTAACAATACTGTTTGCCATTTAGTTATTTTAAAGTTGATTTTTGTTGTTGTTGTTGTTGTTCATGTTTCTTTTAGATCATTTGGCGAAAACATATTCAATAAACTGTTCCAAGCTCTATTCATATTCCTATTGTGAGTGAACATTAAGAAATGCGGTGGTGACAATTCAACGAATCTAATAAATAACGTTTTCTTTGTTTTTATTCTTCCTTAAAATTGTAAAATATTTTTCGGGTGGTTTTTGTTGTTGTTGCTGTTGTTCTTATACACTCTGAGCTATTTCTTAGTTTTCATACTTTATGCAAGCAAGACTAAATTCAAATGGGTTCATTTTCGATTCGTTTCACATCGCTCCGTTCGTTTTCTTGCAACTTTTCTTTGCTTGTTTCATAAATGTTTCATTGTTTTTCCCACAGAGAAAAATAAAATAAGTTCTACAAATTTCGGTTAACTATGACAGTGCTTCTTGATGAATTGAAGGTACTAGTTGTACAATACAAAGATCAATCGCGCATTGACAATGATGGGATTGGAGACGAGATGGTGACGAATAGTGAGGTCCAAGTTCGCGCCGTGTACCTCTTTGTGTATTTGGGTGGTGAAACAAGACTTGGAGTCAATTACAAAAAGAAGACAAATTCAATTGGTTATCTCTTTCTCTTTTGTTTCCATATTTTTTTTCTCGCTCAAGCCTATTCACAACAACCATGTTCGAACGATCGATTGATAGACGGCAAATTGTCGGAAATAATTACTTCAATTCTCGCAGTAATAACAATTTATTCTTTACAATCCATTTTTCTAACTGGTGTTTCAAATACCATTACTATGTTCCCTTTGCATTTTCTCTACTGGCTATTTTTGTTTGTTTCTGCTACGCAATAAATGTGAATTTTTATGCATTTCATTTAGTTGGCATCGTCGCTTGTTGTTGGGATATGAAGAAGAAAAAAAATCCGTTCCTATATTTAATTAATCGCATTTTTGTGTCTCTGTGTGTGTATGTGATCAATAATACGTTTCATTTTGTATGTTCGCCAAACTGTGATAAATTGAATTTAATGTTGATGGTTTTTTTGTGTATGTTATTTTTAGTTTTGTTGCTATGAATCGCTGCTGTTGTCGGGCATACATTTAAAGTTCCGGGATTTGCCGTGTTACTGGTTGGAAGTAATGCAGGCCATTTGTCTGTATCAGCAGAAAAGAGGAATTGTTGAATGATTTTTGTTTGTTTTTGATTGAATAAATTTCGACTCAATCGATGGGGATATTTACCGCCATATCATATTCAGTAATGTAGGCTGGAATTTCTAATTGATCTCGTGTCATGACAGCATACAAGTGCTCAACGCCAGGTAATTGATGAACTTTCGATTTGATCGCAGGCGCCATGAATGTTAAAAACCACCATGTCATCATCTGAATCAAAGATAATAAAAAAATATGATATTCACAATTAAATGAATTGTATCAAATGAATCGAATTGTCACATTCAATGAAGATAGAAACAAAAGGTACAACAACAAATGATGATTACCCTTGTCCAAAATGTTGGGTGCACAATGTAGAAAGCTTTCAAATTTTTCTTATACCTGCAAATACGAAACAAACAAATGGATTAATAATGATAACAGTCAATGGACCGGTTGATTTCTACGCAGAAAGAACGAAAAACAATTATGACGTTGGCGGCCGGTTGACCGGTGTCAGTCAATATAATCTGATATACTTACTTGTATGGAAGTATGCTGTACACTTCTTTAAGCCAGTGAAGCGATGGATAATTATTGGAGTTGGTTAACGTGTGAAAATATGCAATTACATAATCGCCCTTAACAATTGGATCCAGTAAGTAAATTAGGTATAGAAGCGCTTTTTCTAAATCGATATTGTGTGCGGGAAACCATTTTCCACAGAATACAACAACTGGACGACCCAAACGATCGACGCCACTCTGATACAAGCATCCAATGCCCGATACTTCAGTTAAATCCTCGGTGCGTGCACGTCTCAATAAACGCTCATATCTGCTTGTGTGTGTGTGTGTGTGGGTGTGTGGGTGTGTGGGTGTGTGGGTGTGTATTGAGTTTCAATGAACACGATATGCCGGATATTTCCAGATGAACCGATAGATAATTAGAAAAAGGAAGAGAGAGAGAGAGAGAGAGAGAGAGAGAGAGAAAAAAAAACGGTGAAAATAAATAATTTATTAAAATGAAAATGCGTGTTTTTCGTTTGTGTCAAACAAAAGGTCAAAGCGATGTAAAGAGTATTTCCATAGATTTTTTGATACGAACATTGTGCGATTTAATGAATGAGTAAGCAAACAGAGATGCATTATTCATAGCAATCTTATAGAGAAAAACAAATTATTTTCCACTGTGAACATTTGTCTAATCCACGATTGTTGATGGCTTCGCAATGCAAACAATGTACTTGTCAATGAGCATGACCTTTTTGGTATGTTACATTATGGCAAAAATGAAATAGACAATCATTTTTTCCCTCAAATTTTACACCGGAAATCCGCTACTAAGCACAATTTTCATAGTACATAGCAACCGTTTGATGATGATGATGGTTCGGTAAAAAGTGAACTGACATCAGCATGGAAATGCACTGCAATTTACTTTATTAGATTTGTAATACAATTTTCGTGATTGATGTTACCAATTTAACCAATTTACATCCAATAACAAAGAAATGATTTTTCCATTTCCATTTCCATTGTTCCGTTTAAGGTCAATCCAACTAATGGAGATATACGCATGTTGATTATCATAAGTGGCAACATGAATGTACTGTGTCAATGGTGCTGTTTCCACTTGACATTTATCATTTCATGTATGCTTTTGCCTCCCTCTCCCTGAAATGCCGTATTGTAGCACTTAAAAAGAAAATACATCGAGTAAAACAGGTCAACGAATAGAATGTGTACGCAGCCAAAAACATGTTGAGCATTTTTCAAAATCAATGGAAAGACATTAGTTGGATTCAATCATATGCTAGAAAAAAAACAAAGAAATTTTGTGTGTGTGATGAATGAAATTGTCTCCGTCGTCCATTTTTATTGAGAACAATCTAAAAGCCACATCCAAAGAGCGACTTCATATGGTGTGACTGTGACAATGGCAATGAACGATTTTTAATGTGGACACATACTACTCTAATTTAGTACACCGAACGGCATATGATTAAACGGAACACACGAATGTGACAATATGTTGACGTGTACTCATATCTGATAGAATGCCTAAATAAAGCTGAAACAAGGCTGTGAAGAAAGAAGAACGATCGCGTCAAGGCTCTGACGTTTCAAAATCAAATATTCCGTTGATTTAGAAATCAATTGGATTGTTTGTTTCTATTGTGAATCGATTTGGTTTGCAGTGGCGAAGCGCAACAAAAGATTGTTTACCTGTTTTGGCCCCAAACAAACGGTACAATTTATTTGCACAAATTGTCACAAATACACATGAGTGCAAATAGAAATGTACGCGAAGCCATACGTATACTCTTTTAAACGGCAGTCAACTGCTGCCGAAATTATTTGACTAAATAAATTGATGCGAAGTTCAACCTCTCTGTACTTAGTTGATTTAAGCTAATGTTTTTCTTATTTATTTTCGTCTGTTTGCTCATTCGCTTTGGTCGACAGTTTTCCTTTTTTCAACCATTAGTTTGTACATTCAGACATGTATTCGTCTTCTTCTTCCTTTTTTTGCTTAGTTTCAACTTATCAGCAGCGGTACAATAAATCCAATTATCGTATAATCTTGTCTTAAGAAGCGAACAAATCAGTCGTGTCATCTTCTGATGATTACGGCTCATCGTTTGAATTTCTGCTCCAATTGACGTGTGCCGACGATATTCCGATTGAATTTCGGTATTTTTTTTTTATTCAAATTGGATCGTCGACGAGATTATGGAATGTTTATTCACTTCATTTCAGGAAAACAAACGGCAATAAACGCCGTGTTCGCCAAACGTTTGGATACAATTTCGAAATCGCACGAGAGATGTTGTGTTTTTATTAGCTCGAGAATTGAATAGTTCATTTGGCCAAGGCATACATTCAATGACTTTTGCATGCAAAGCGGCGATACAGGTTGCCATAGCAAATTCCCTTGTTCACACGCCAGTTAATCAATGTAAACATGCAATTAAAATGTTTCAATTTGGACTTTGTTCGTATCGTTTTACACGCACCAATCCCGAATTGATGCGCACTTTTCCAGACACCGCCAACTGTGAGCTCCAATCAAGAGAAGAAATATGAAAATATATACAACTAACAATGTAAACAGAACACAGTTAGATACCACATTGATTGCACCATCATCTTATCCGAAATGTATCCAAACCGTATTTTGTCTACAGTATGTAGTCAGTCTGAGTATCTTTAAATTGTAATCAAGTGTTTTGGGTCTCGCGCCTATAGATAGGTCGAGCATGCAATGGGAATGTACACACTAAAATATGGAATATGTAAACTAGTAGCCGATGACTCTTATATGCGAGTTGATTTACATCTAGCAACAAATGAACCGAAAATGTCACTACTTTTTAGTTACATTAGTCACTAAACGACCGTCAGATGTCAATTGTTTGACGATTTATTAACATCATACACTAATTTTAAAATGATTGCTTCCAAGTAATAAATGGATAGATTGAAAGAATAGCCAAAGCTCATACATCTAATTTTAGGCAACCCATATATCATCTCGTACATATATACCATCGTTGAGAATGTTTCCATTTTATTCATCAACAAAAAACCAAATAAATGGTAAAAAACACAGTCGGTTTCACGTGATTGACGATTGTATACAATGTGGCTGAGGGGAGATGTGAGACTAGAGAAGATGTAGGGCTCGTTGAAATTTATTGGCAAACAAATTGGTAACAAATAATCACATTTGATGCCCAAAAAAATCGATTAATTAAAAACTATCTATGAGAACAAATTCCAAATACAATTCCGCAAAATGGCTTCGAATATTAACAAAAACAAATTTCACACTGAAATTACAGCACGTAAATCATATTCGTCGGGCATGAGTCTTTGCTGCATTCAATGGAATGTTACAGAATTATTTACAGCGCTTGAATTCAATACCAAAATTGTCTAATGGTTTAGTAGACGCACTCATGTCTCGTGCTCAAAAAATGTCAACCGCTCCCGCTATCGATTTTCTCGCTTTAAATTGCTTCAGTGTTATTGTTCCGGCCTCCTTTTGAACAAAGGAAAAGAAGGAAAAAACACAAGCCCCTCCTTTCCCACCGAAATCTAATCGTCAATAGATTTTCCTACATCCAATGCGAGCAAGTCACGTAGCGTTTCTTTCCTTTTCATTTAAAATCGTCTACTTATAAATCGCACATTAAAATATTCTAATGCAAAACTCTCGAACACGAACATCACACTGCTACTTCTGTTGCTGCTGTTAATTCTTTCTTCTTTTCCACCGTTCGTTCTGTTTTCGAAAACAATGACAGAGACGAGATGGAGAAGAGTGAGAGTGTTACAAGAGAATGTAATATGCAAGAATCAGGCCAATGTCGTACGTATTTTAGCGATATGTATAGCTGCTTTCCGATGGAAATTCATCAACATCAAATAAAAACCGTTCTGTGTAGCCATAGCCGATATGTGTTGATGGAAATTTTGTGTTCATTTTTTCTATGTGCTTTGATATTTCATTTGATGCACATGGAACTATACAATGTCGACACGGAGTGTTGCCGTGCATTGACCGACCAATAGAATGAATGAACGTTGATTAGCCACACTTCACTGAATTTTATATGCGATACAATGATCAAAATTTAATGCATTTACGCCATTCTACCACTCAATTCCTGTCTCACACTTCCCATCAATTAAGCCGATAAAACCATTCAATCGATTTCATTCGATTCGATTTAATCGAAATCGTCAAACATAAATTTTCTACTGCAAAATTGTATATTTCACTTTCGTATTGTAAACTTTGGTTGCAGCAGTTGATTTATAATTGGCTGATAACAATTAAAATTCCATTTAACAATGCTTCGTGATGTTTACGTCGTTTTTCTGTCGTTCATAAATCAAATACTACCGTTTAGAGGCAAACAATTTATGATTAAATTCAGTTTAAACACCGAAACAATGCAACAAGAATGTGAATTGTGTGAGAAAATTTGCATTTTTGTGGCAATTTGTGTTTCCAATTTTAGATTGGATTTTCGGATCGATCGACTCGGCCTGACTCGTATGTTGTTCAACGATGCCACTTAATGGCAAAGTTCGTATGAGACGAATCGTATCAACAAAACCCAAGGGAAAGAAGAAATGTGTGCTTTAGGCTAGGGGCTTTTAAGTCAAAATATACATTCGTATTTGTGTGAATATTTCGTGAATATTGCATATAATCCGTGTATATGATGTATATTTTCACGAAAAATATTCACCATATTCACAGAATATACACAGCATGTAAAAAATATGTGTTTACGGCAATGTCGAATCTTTGTTACCGATCGTGAATATGAGGTGTATATTTCATGAATATCGTGTATATTCCGTGAATATCGTGCATATTTTGCCAGTATTGTGAATATTTCGTATGACTGTCATCTATGGTGTATATTTCTTAGATGGAATATACATGAAAGCCCCTAGGCTTTAGGTGTGGTTTGTTAGGAATTTCATTTTGCTTTCGATTCGACCGATTCGACGTTCGAGCCACTCGAATAAGTTGAGAAATTGAAGCAGAGCGAGCGAGAGAGAATTTTCTTCGGTAGTGAATAATAACCATCACCTACCACACCTTGGTTAATCAATTTTGATTTGAGCCCTTTTCCAATTACAATTTTTACAAGCAAAGAACCCAACGATTTATTTGTATTTTCAACGTTCTAAGCGAATTGGATTAAAATCAAAATCAAACAACACTGACAAAGTAAATAAAGCGAAAGATTTGAATGTATTTATCCATATATTACCTAATAAGAAGTCTCAATACGCTCGACAATTTAAATG